AGTTTAAGAGCTCTAAACTGAACTGACTGATAAGACGAGAGCTCTAAACTGACACTGAACTGACTGCCAAGCAATCAGTCAGTCAGTCAGTCTCATCAGTTTGGATTGATTGTTAGCAACTCTGATTGTTCTTGTCGCCACCGGCATGGTAGTACGCGAGAGTGTCTAGAGCCTCCTCGTAGCGTTCCTTGGAGATCAACCAACGAGGACCTGGAGAGTTATATCAGCTTGAGTTCTCAAATCGTCCAATATGTGGGTCGAACTTACTCTCAGGAACCCACCAAAGAAAGCACAGTTGAAGGAATGAAGGAAGGGCTTGAAGAAGGGTGATAGACCTCCAAGACCAATCGTTGCTCGCTTGAGATGTACCCCATGCGATCCATGCGACGAAAAGCGCTCCCAAGTTCCACAAGCAGTTGTATACTGCGGTGAAGATACCACGGTGCTGGGGATGGCAGATCTCGGTGAGGAGAATGGGCGAGCACATTTGGGCGAAAGAGTTACCGAACCCAAGGATAAACCTGCCACCCATGTAGATCTGCCAGTTCGTAGAAAAGGTCGAGACAAGAGCACCAGCAATCATGATGGAGCAACCGACGGCGATTGGAATCTTGCGACCGGTCCACTGGGTGAGGAACGGGACAAGGAAGAAACTAACGATCGAACCGATGTTGTACATGTTGTTCATGAGACCCAGTCGGTTACCGGAGGGCTCGTCGAAGTAAGTCTGCCAGTAGTTCATCTGTTGCGAAGAGTTCATCATCATGCTAGATAATTATCAGTCGAATCCAATGTGTTGCAAAAAGGAATACTCACCCGTCGTAACCAGTAGTTGCAGAGGCAATGCAAAGGACTGAAGAGTGCCAGAACAGCTTTCGCATGTTTGGGTCCTTGTACCAGATAACCTTCTCAAACTCAGGCGCTTCCTCGCGAGCAACCGCGCTGTTGCCTTTCGGCGCTCCCATGGACATGCCCACCATCTTGGATGAAGAGCGATGTGCGACAAGATAGCGTGAAGATTGGTTTGAGTTCAGGACCGGTAGGCTTTGCTACTGATGGGCGAAGTCCCTTGAGGATGCGACTGACGCTCGTTCAGCGTCCAGTACTTATATTCGATCTACAATTACTACAAGAGACCCACACCCCGGATGAGCGACTCGCATGCTTACTCCACCGCGGGTTGACGGACATGGGTACCGCAATTTGCAGGAAGACAGCCTGACAGCAACGGAGGAAAGCACCAGTAAGGTGATACCAAGAGAACCCCACCGAGCGATCCGTTGGCACCAGGCCCGTAGCGCCGTAGGACTAGACTTATAAGACTAGAGAAAGCCCGTCTTGTCATATCTAGGCACTGCTCGCCAATACCGATATCGAGGGTCCGATGCGATTTGTGGTCTCCCCATGGGGTGCTCAGCTGCCTTCGAGAAGTCTGTGATTTGAACGCTAGAACATGAAACAACGATGGATGGCAGATCCAATAATAGGATGCAGTCTATCATTGGTGCTTGATAACGCCTTGATATTGTTCGCGATAGTCAGTAGACGACGGAGGCATACATTGGAGGCATACATTGCGGGGCAAAGAAGCGGCAAGTGTAGAGAGACTTGCTTGCAAAGCCTGGTGGTTCCAGTGTATCACTTGGAGTTGATCAGATGATAGACGCCTTCATCACAAGATTTTGACGCCATCTGATTGGAAACGATCTTCGACATTGAGCCATGTGTTGCTTGGTGCTGTGTCTGCTCCGCGATGCCCAGCACCAAGACCCCATACGCTTCCGGGCTTGATCGAAAGACCCCTCGAAGACTCTACACACGCCCTGTGAAGCTGTGACTCGTCCCGCGGATAATTTTACCTAGCATCCGGCACGTCTCTTGGAGTTCTGCACTGAAGTCTTGGAAAAGCCAACCATGAGTCCGGTTGTGGTAGGTCAAGCTCGTAATGCGATGCCATGACCTGCCAAGGTGGATAAATGGCCCTACGCGCCGAACCTGACGTTCCGAGAGTTATTTTGTAGTGACGGAGTCGATAGTTGAGGTTCTGCATTGGCAGACGTCGAGAAAGCGCAAGTGGCTACCATTGTGTTCTCAGATAGGTTGTGAGGGTTAGGACAAGTCGTCCCGCGGCAGAAGTCGCGTGTGCGACGCGAGGTGGCGCGAAGCTGATTAGGTGAACTTCGGAGCTATGCCACAGGCCGCGTGCAGCCTTGGCATGCGCCCACGGGAGGCATCCGGAGTAATCAACTACGAGGTCGGTGCTCGCACAGATACGACAGATACTTCAACTCCTTGGATCCGTATCTACATAAACGAGTTCCAGGCGCCGAGCTGTTGGTGTCACCGCGATATTGCTCATACGCAAGCGAACAGGCTAGTGGGGCCTTTCTTCCCATCGCAAAACGTCCCGTCTCGCCATCGGGTGGCTCGCAAAGTGGTACATAGAGTCGTGATCAATGGCGCTTACGGACACAGAACCGACCTGGAAAGTCACCTTGGCGAAGATGCCCCCCGGTTGCTGGGACCGCGCTGCGCGTCTCAGTGTAGGTTGCCCATTTAACCGGCAAAAGGATATGGTGGTGGTGGCGTTGTGGTGGAATACCGGTAAATGCCAAGATGCCATTCATCCCTGGGGCGGAGAGCGGAAACTCGGCACGTCGATGACTGAGAATTCGACATGAACTTCGCCCCAATGTGTTGAGGCTGATGGCAGCTAGGCAGCAAATGAGTTTCTGCGTAGGACCGGGCTGGGTTCTGATTGCAATAACATTGCTTACTCAAGTACGTACTTGAAGGAATATCTGTCGACACGCGCATGCTTCAACGTTAGCGGCATGCACTTCAGCAGTCGAGCCTGAATCAAAAGCTCGAGAGACTTGCATTAAGGGGAATTCTTTCTGTTATGGCAATAATTTGAGCAGATACAATTCGAATAGGAGAAAGTGGAGAGACCTCGTTGCTTATATGGGGCTTCTTACATTGGCGAAAGCCATCTATTTTCCGAGGGCGGACACTTGTAGACTGCGAAAGCGGACGCTTGTAAACTCCGACGGCGGCACAACCAGAAAATTCAATCATGCTATCGGCCGACCGATACGTCCACTCTGGATTGCGCTGCGACTATGACCTCTAAGACTGTCTCAACCCAGATTGTTCTTGGCTTTAGACATGTCCGCAAAGGGTACGCAGCTACGCTCGAAACAAGCTTATAGTAGAGAAGCGTGCCCCAACATATCGAAGTGGGAGCTGTGACGTTGAACTTAAGCTACCCAGCTGGCGTATATACGTCTAGGAACGTGGTCATTGGGTATCTCATCTAGGTGATCATGCCTGTCGCATGGGACGATGCAGTACATATTTCCGAAGCTGATGATATTGTGGCTGAACTACAACAGACCGCTCTTTTTCAATAGCAGGCAACTGATGTGCCAAAGATCCACAACCTTTTCACTCCATCATGCATTTTCATAGTGTAATCACTATACTACGCCTGATGATCTGCAGTGTCTTTACCAGTCGTACATCTGTCGAGTCCGCCTTCCCTTCCGAGTATACACTACCTCGATGGCCTGTTTCGACACCTTGGCTGCGAAATTTCCTCTCAACATCACGCCTAGTTCCGCTGCGACCGCCTCTGCCGTCAGTGAGAAGTATCCGGAATGCTCAATGATGATAGTTTCGAGCATGTCACAATCTAGTAGCCGCTCAAGCTTGTACTTGGAGAAGAGGTCGGTAGCTTTGTTTGGTTGGGTCGAACATTGCAGCAACATATCCGAGTCATCGTCCAGGCGATAGTATGTGAGCTCTTCCTTATGGAAGCCAAGCTTGATGATACGCAGTCCGGTACACTGGACTGCTAGCTCAAGGTCGGCATTCTCGATAGTATTGCCTTTGTATCTGGAAAAGAATTTTAAGTCTAGTTGACGGACCTGTTCGAAGCGTCCGTTTTCTGCCTCGAGGAAAGCGCGCAAGAACAAGTTGTCGTTATACGAACAAACGAGGATCTTGGAGGTAATGATGAAGTTCACTACTGTTTCCTCGAACGTCTTTTTCGAGGTGAAACACAAAACGGGCAAGAATCTGGGTTTCTTTGGGTTGTCTCCACGCTTGACGGCGTCTCGCACCGCAACCTGGCCGATAGAAGAGAATGCTAGGGTCCAAATGGGGAAGCGGATTTCCTTTGGTAGATCCAGGAAGCGCGCAAAGCTAGGCTGTGGTTTCAAGCCATGCTGTATAATATGTGACCACGACTGGGCCGGCTCAGCAGTACTGTAATACTGTGGAGAGAGTACCCTAGTAGACAAAGGAGGAAAATCGATGGGCTTGAGCTCGAATGAGGCCGATAAATCGCGTCTGCGAGCCGGCTGCTGCTCTTCGGGTCTGCTAATGATGATCACCGGCATATTTCCAAATCACTAGTCACAAATGTCAGCATGTTGTTCTCGATAACTCTAGTTCGATCGACTTACGCTGCGCTGATCTTGCTCTTGTGAGATGGCTGCGTGCAGCGGCTCTCTCAGTGGTATCAAGATCGACCGGAGAACTCGACACCGTGGTTGAGAAGAAGTGATATTAAGCCTGTAGGCGTTTATATATATGCATGGTAAGCGCGCTGGAGGCATCCGCTGGTAGTGAAAAATCAAAGGTATTCCGTATCACGTCACCGTGGTAGACAGCGTTGGAGTCATTGCTTCACAAGGCCATTCACGGACCACTTTTGGATCAGCGCATTGTGCCACGCGGGTGAGTACCAAGCATCTTGCGATACTAGAAGGGGTTATGTAGAGGTGACAGCATCTTGTAGAGTTACGAGTATATTTGACCCTCCGGTATATGCAGGCGATTCGATCACCGAAGACGACGACGGTGGAACGGTAGTTGTGAGTGGCTCGTCCTTGCTAGGCCATCGCAGGACCACGGAAAGTACGATTTTGGTCCGGCTACCAGGGTATTGTCATCTTTTCAATCAGAAATCAGAAGCGAGTGATCAAAGGTATATGGAAGGTTTTCGCACACAGCTTTGCTTTACCTTTACGTACCATGTAACTGATTGCCTATGAAGCAAGCTTGGGTCCTATGAGCTTGCAGTTGCTGGTCTTCACAACGCGCAACTTTGCGCATGAGACCTACCGACATACTACGTTCTTTCCATGGTCGACTGCCGTGCTCACGTGCGACTAGGTGCGGAGACAACTAGATCTTGCGCGCATGCTCCTGCACCACTTTCCCATCCTCGATAACACAGTGCTCTACACCTGCAGTAACGCGCAAACTCTCTAAGTCAAACAGGTATTCCTCATCTTTCTTCACGACCTCCAAGTAGAAAGGATCTTCATAGGCTTTCTCGAAATCCTCGTAGTTTCGCACCCAAAAGTCCGCCATGCCATCGTATGAGAGTGTAGGCATCTTCAAAAGCGCTTTATGTTTCGATGTAGTATGATACTTCGAAGAGTCAGCATCCATAAGAAGAGAATCCGCATTGCTTCGCGCAGGCAAGATTCTGGATTGGTAGAGGAAAGCTGACTTGGACGTATTTGACAATGCCGTGACGCTGTAGCCACGATGTGATAAGAGGGCCATGCTTATTTGCCCAGTGGTCGTTGAATTCAGTTTCCGAAAGCTTGGGGTTGCGATTCGCAAGGACAGTGACTCGAACCAACTCTTCTGTCGACATGGTTGCTATCGTTTGTAGGTGTCGTAAATGTGGCTGATGTGGCTAGGATGAGGATTGCCAGGGTCGATGACGCATCACTCCCTGCAGAAACCCAATCGGCGTCTCCTCACCCGCTCGCATATACTGCTCAACGTGCTCTTCTCGAATGAACTACTGACCAAGCAATCTCTCATCTACCTGTCGCTGTACACCACGTCGCCAGTTTTGCTTTTACACTGTACGCGCAGCTTTAACGATGTTGGGAACGATACGAGTGGTTCCCCACCTCTCCACCCCTCCACAGATGATAAAGATGCTGCGATCAATCACCGGCCGCGAGCATTCTTGGCTTGGAGACAACACACGAACAGAAGGACCTTCTGTCACCAAGCTAACGGTAGCGCCCGTGATGCGGCGATCAGTGACCCGAAGCCCCTCTTCCCTAGGGACGGCATTGCTCGGTGAAGCCCCCGGAAGCTTTTACCCGGCTTCCGAATACATGAGTAGCAACGTTAGATCAACTACGCATATCAATACTCTGTAAACCTCGAAACCTGTTCTTTCCTGCTGAACCGCATTACTACCAGAAAGCGTGTAAATAAGATGACGTCCATTGATCAGCCACTGAACAGCAAGATACTGCTCATTACAGGAGGCGCATCAGGTATTTGCACCAGTATGGATGCATGGAGAATGTGCAGTTGACATCTCTAGGAATCGGTCTCTGTGTGACGAAGCAAGCGCATGATCTCGGCGCGCGCGTTCTTGTTGCGGATCTCAGAACAACACCCGACTTCGATACCTTCGCCGCGAACAAGTCAAACATACTCTATGTGCAGTCTGACGTGACGCGATGGGCAGACTTCGACAAGATCTTTAATGCGTGCGAAAAAGAATGGAACGACGTTCCTGATGGGTACGCCATCTGCGCGGGACTGTTCGATCCGCCGTTCTCCAACTTCTGGCAAGACCCAGAAGAGGAAGGGTACAAGCAGGTCGAGGTCAATGTGAATCATCCTATCAAGTTGACAAGGCTCGCTATCAGAAAAAGCTTAGGGAAGGGGAAGAGGGCCAGTGTTTGCATCATCGTAAGTAATGCCAGCATATCGACGTCTGCTCAAGAGAGCAGGGTATGATTGATCACAACATGTCTAACACGAAATCAGGCATCGGTTGCCGGGTTATCAGGCAACATGGCAGCACCACTCTATTGTGCAACAAAACACGCTGTGGTCGGATTTGTCAAGTCTATGGGAGCGACAGAAGCGCTCACTGGTGTGAAGATTACGACACTTTGTCCTGGCGCCGTCTATACGCCGATGATGGATGAAGCAAAGCGCAAACAATATTCCGTGACTACCGACACGGCATTGACGCCAGATGCATGTGCGAGTTCTCTGCTAGACCTACTACAGAAGAAGGAGTATCTGTGTGGAAGTGTACTTGAAATCACTCAGATAGGGACGCGACTTATACCGGAGTGGGGTGTGGAGCCGCCGGCTGGCAAGGGTTCGGGACAGGACCTAGATGAGAATTTCATGACGAACATGCTGCAGCCTATCAAAGAAAAGTTAGATGTGGAGAAGGCAAAGGCTTGAGGATGCATATTTGGAAGGGTTCAGATGGATTACGTATAGGGAGATACAGCATTTATAAACCGTGGCAAGCTCTCGACCGAACTCTCGCTACCAAGTTGGAACAAGCCCACACAAGTGAGGTGTGTAAGGCGAGTATTGCGACCAACAGATACCCTTCAATCAATCAGATCATCCGAATCAGTCCATCGGCTAGGATATCTCGTTTCCACCCTTCATACCCCCAGCGCACTTGCCTTCTCACATCAGGCAGAACCGTCTAACACTTGGGCATCCACGTATCGCCAAGTTTCTCGTCAATCTGCTTCTTGGCCTCATCAAGTCCTTCGCCAATTTCCTCCTTGGCCTTCTCCAGAACCTTATCCATCGTGTGAATCACATCCTTGATGAGACCGGCACACGCAATTCCCTCTGGGCAATCTCTAACCGTGGATCGCTTCTTTGCCTCGGGCTCCTCAGACTCTGAGAAACCGTGTGTGTGCATCCACTTTTTGGGGATGGGTGCCGTGAGAACTTCATTTTCGGCTTCGGTGACGACCCTGGCGATGGGGCCGAGAGTCCCAAGACTGCTTGGGATGTAGGGGCGGGCGACGGGGGAGATGGGAATGGCAATGCCCAGAGAGATGAAGAGAGAGAGGACGAAGGCTCTGGCGTACATCTTAATGTTTGTGGTAGAGAAGCTTTTGCTTGGTTTGATGTTTGGTGTTGGTGTTGTGGTAGTGGATGATAAGTTGTATTCTTGAGCTGTTCTGACTTGGAAGATACGAGATTTGTAGATGATGAGGAAACAGACAGATGTTGATAGGATGCAGGGCATTATATATGCTGAGAAGATGCTCATTTTTCAGAGGAAATTGGTACCGTGGTTAAGATGTGGACGACACCCACGATGCTTGCACCATACAACACATCGCTGATCCAACTCATACGTAGCAGTAGCACCAAGGTATCGATGTTATAGATGCATTCCGACTAATAGTTACAAGGTGTTCGTGTCATATTACTATCATGAAAACTTCGAACAGTTTCTTGAGCTATGTAGTCTTCCAGCTTCTACAACTTCGCGCTCCCCCCGAATCTCTGCTTGAAGTATCCTTCAAATGATGTAGCCAGAGTCTCTTCGAACATACTGTCGCTTGTCTGGCTCTCCGGTTTCATGATATTGCCTTTACCCTGCCTACCGTTCAACGAGTACCAAAAGCACACTGGCAACGCGCTTTCGATATGTTCATTAGGCGCCTTGCTTGGGTCGACCCAGACCTCATGCATCGCATCATCGCCCTGCACCTCCAGGCCGACCAGTTTTCCGGTGTACCTGCGCAGCGATCCCGTATTTCTGACACGCGATATCGTATTCCCAACAATGCTGAGGTATTGGCCATCGCGCTTTTCGAACTTCAGTAGAGTAGCTACTAGGAAGTCGGCAGTCATCCAGGTGCATACTATTTGCTTCCACGTTCTGGCGGCGCATAAAATGGGTGATATCATCGTTTGAAGAGTTTGGGGGTCGGTTCCGGAACACACTATACTCTTATGATCTTGGTTGTGGGTTGCTGTAGCCAATCATCATGAAGCTCATCTTGCCGGATTAGATGGCTGGGTGGATGATGGCGAACCATTGGCCATGATGTCGCATTTATGGGTATAGACGAAAGTACTGAAATAATAGCCAAACGCATTGAGCTCTCAACCTCTAGGCGGAATGGATATGTCCCATATGGTCTTTGATTTGCGATGTAGTTGGTGGAACCTAAACTCGGATAGGTAGAAGCGCTTTACGCCCGTATTCGCTAACGCGTCTTGAATCGTGGCTTGCGCTTCCAATGCAGGACCACTCAACGTGCTCACATACACATCCCGCATTCGAGTCCTTTCCCTAGCTCCTAAAGATCCGCCTCTTTCGCATCAAAAGTCTTGGTGATGACGTTGTCTGGTTGAGCAGGCTGTGTGCCTGCTGGGACAAACGTGATCGCCTTAAGTTTCTGACCTCGTCGGTTAAAAGGCTTCAGACCATGGATAATGCGCTTGTCAATCTGCTGTGGCCAGTAGACTCATTGTTACGGGATGGATCTTACATGTGTACCTATTCGTTTGCGCCGAAGAGAGCAACAGGCTTGAGCGGCGCAGCAAGCAAGGCCGCGGTTAGCTGCATGACTTCTTATCATGTAGAATTTTTAAGTGTTTCCAATTTCGCTAATCTTTTAACTACTTTCGTCTTTCCAATGCTTGAGGTGGCTTCTTTGAAGATGCCATCGGGTATGACGCAATCGTGACTCGCATCATCATGATGACTATATAGGGGTGATGCAGAGCCCACGAACAATGAGGCTTCATTCTCACACCTCGAATACTTCCGATCCTTTGTTGATAAACGTACAAAGAAGCTCAATGCGGCGTTTGCGGGTCATGGCCCTTGGTATCTCCGTCACTAACCCATCAACCTAGCCGCTCCCAGACCCTCATTGTACACTGAATACACTTTGCGCACGAAAAACCCCTGTTTTCTGGAGCACGATACCGCACTAAAAAAGCGCGATAACGGTATTTGCTATTTTATACATCGACGGTACGTAAGTTCGCTAGCCGTCTGCGAACACAATCCCACCGACACGACTGTTGAACTCTCTCTTCCACAAGGGCATCATGGATCGCGGCAGTGGGTGCTCGTCGTCATATCCAAACACCTCGAATACGACATCATGACTCGCAGCGATGGCGCCTGCACTCATTGACCCGTATTGTCTGATGATAGCCGTGCGCAAGTTGAGCAGCTTGTCCTTGCGCCGCACCACAATGTTCTTAAACAGAGCCTTCAAGGATTCTTCAGATGGTTGTGGAAAGTTCGTGTTGACATGCAACTCCTCCATGCTGTCCGGAAGCATGTCGCCCATACACGGAATGTCAATATGTCCCCACGTCCTTGAACCCTGCGGAATGTGCGCATCGCGGCCCTGTCGCTGTCCGCTCTCCAGAGGTGGACCACAGAAGCATTCAACATCGACCTCCAGCTTCTTCAGCTTCGTGAAACGTAGAAAAGAGGAAAGACCATTCACAACCTCGCCATGCAGCTCATCGATGGTGATGGCAAGCTCAACAATGGTATCACTGTTGTAGTTTGCCAGCGCCTCAAGCATCTCGCCAGCATTCCAATCGTGTTCAAGACCGTCCCATTTCGTTTGGTGGGAATATTTGAAGACCTCAAGAGCAGGCGTATTCTCTAGGAAGGCTGAGAGACCGGTAGCGTCCATACAGCAATACGCGAACTCAACGCGTGTCAGTGGGGACTTGGTAAGTGGATTCATCCAAGTGAAAGGCACGCCTCCCCAATCCTCGTCGACAGCCACACAACTAACTGCATAAATATTTCTGATGCTTTTGAGTGCCATGAACGGTGCGATGCATTGTAAGCCAACTCTGACATCGTAGCCTTCCTCCACGAACGGTAAGATGGTTTCTAGTCGAGCCAAGGGCTTTGCGCGGTTCCCATTCTTATTGGACATGGCAACAAGCGACTGAACATTGGGGACCAGAGCCTCGGCACTTTCGCCTTCTCGAACCTCATGCCATCTATCAGGCAGTTGCAGTGTTTTTAAATTGGGCAAAAGACTCAACAAAGCGACAGTCGCATATAGTTTATCCATGTTCGGCTGGTCACCCGCGCGGTCTTCTTCCAGAATGCGGCTCCACCAATCGTCCTCATCGGCATCGGCGTATTGCTCGGCATGTCGCAGCAAATCTTTAATATTTTGCATTGCCTGCTCGTCGTCGCGGAAACTGAGCGCATCGATATGGTTCGGCATCTCATCATCCGCACGACGATCCCAGAGGGAGAGAGTCTCAATATACTCAGCAATGATAGGGTCGCGAGCGATGTCGTGTAAAATTGACAATGTGTCGCCGCGACGAGTCCGGCTCATGTTAGTGGTATGGCTCCAGGTCCTCCGTAACGCATTGTGTTGTCGGATTTGGTTTGCAGCCCGCCCGTATATGGTCTTGCATGAGAGCACAAAGCTCTCAAGGCCACTAGGTGCGGTGCGATCAATGATCAAGTCGAGAATCTCTGGTGGAAGATCGAGGAGGCCCATGGTTGTATCCTGTGCGGCACCGCCGGCGTTGGGTTGACGAAAGATAAGAGGGGTAGCCGGAACTTTTGATAGGCAATGAAAGAGGCTGCACACCTGTGGCTTTGGATGCAGATGTTGGAGTTGAGGTATGCTACCGTGAGTCAGGTACACGCTGAATGGAAGCTACTGATATCGGCTCTCGAACAATCGCGCATGAACGGAATCTAGAATCGCAAGAGCTCAGGGTCCAGGTGGTATTTGGAAACGGCGAAGAAGATCCGAAGCAACTAAGGATGTTAAGGAACGGCAGCCTTTCATTGGTCTCGGCAGGAAAGTCCTTCCTGTCGTTGTCTGAATCCTGTGGTGGGGTAAGCTAGATACCGTTTGAGGCTAGTCTGTGCAGAAAAAGACGACTCCTTCTCCGAGCAGCTGGAACCTTGCTAAGATGATACTAGCATCGATTTTTGCGTTTGGCATCGCGTTGCAATAATATCGAGATATCCATGGTACGATTCGTACGTGCAGTGGACCCGAATACCTGCCCCTCATATGTCTCGAAGAGCCCAGAAACGATAGCACACCTGGAGAGGTCATGCGCGGAATGTTCCGGAAGATTCCAAGAAGCAAAATGTCAAAGCTGAATCTCGGAGAAAGCCACATACGGAGACCTCAAGCTGTTAGATTCTTTATCAAGGTTCTGATCGTTGCTTTAGTGGGGTGCGGACTCCGTACCCGTTCTATCATTCTGCCATGGGTGCGCATTGATATTCAACCGATCAAGACAACCATTCCTAGTCTCAATGGACTTCTACAAATCGGAGTCTAGTCCTTGAAGCTAGTCTCTAATACAGACATGTGGCTGTATTCATGACGGTAATGCTTGGGTCAGAAAAGCTGGTTGTTCACTGAGTCGAATGTCATGTGGCCTGTGGAATTGGAGGCATGAATACGGCAGTCGGTGTGCCCATATCTGCTAGATATGATGTCTGTGAACTCAGTCAGCAGCCACAGTCCTAGAGCTCTGAAACTATACGAAGGAGTTGATCAGGGCTGCTACCAAAGGGCGCGGTATTTCACTCAGCGAAAACATGAAAGAGTCAACAAAGGACTGGACAGGAACCAATTACCAGAAATATCGCCGATGTCAGCAGTACCTCATGTAGGAGGTATGCGTCGAGAGAGTGAACGTCACTGCGTCTAACGTAGGATTGCGGTGGCAGAAAATGTACAGATCGCTGTGCCAGCAACCCCTAAAGAATGACTTGCATGTACGTGTCCCTAGCGGACACGGTTCATGTACAGTGCACAAAATGGTATCGATGCAGGAATAGTGTGGTCGGAACCGCGTTGACGCTCCAGTCCAATCATCGCGCTCGTGATAGTTGGCTGTACAATAGGTCACGCAATATCACACGCCAGGAACAAGATTTCGAATACAGCTCGACAAATAGTACCTGAGCGGGTCCAATCAAACATTCTACAGCCACTACATGGAACGCGAGTGGCCGCTGCGCATACCTCGGTCAATCTAATACTTGGGGATATCCTCCGTCCATCTCGGTATTAGGATGCAGCACGGCCCAAAGTGCCAGATGTACCCGACGACTTTTCCTACCCAATTTGCAACAAGGTGGACATGCATGTTGAAGAGCGCAGCTACATCGGCAGATCTTCACCCCGATGCATAGTAAGTCAGAGTAAGCATCTGGCTAAGCCTTATAACACATCTTCAGAGGTTCGCATTCAAGAAATCGATCTCTTTGGAAACCCCTTTCCACTTCGTTCTACTCTTGTAGTCGATCATGTATTATCTCGCGTTATTTCCCATGTTCCTTCTACCGTTTTGCAGGTATGCAATGGTTTGAGACTTCAGTTGGGCAGTATAGCGTCGGGTAGTAGGACCGAGCTTGCGACCCTGTCGGTAAGTCGCGACGTGGCCTCGCCCCGCCACTGCTGAAGACGCCACTGTTCGGCCCTAGTCCACAGCATCACGGTCGCGTTCTGTCAGCCTGAGCTGCTCGGAACCTTTCAATGGCTGCGGATCTACATTGCGAAGCAAAACTGTAGCAGACTTGGGCGATGCCTCATCTACCCAAGAATCTTCCTCAGCGGTGCGTGGTAAAGGCCCGTGATAAGGATAGACATTGCGGCGGCCAGCGACGTCTGGGTGACTGGGGCGGCGGTGGCGCTGAAAAGTCTGCTCGCTCTGTTCGCCAACGGACAAAGGCGTGTAGTATGAAGATGCTTCTGTGGATTCTGTCGGAGACGGCAAAGTTGACCGAGACTCATCGAGAGATGTTGAACCTGGGTGGGATTGAGGAAGCGACGGCCGTACGGCCGTACAAGAGTCAAGATTCGGCAAGTGCATTTCTTCGATATCATTTGGTCGTAGATTGTGGTGCTCGCGCAACAACCTCCATGGCCGAATGTCAGGCTTGCAAAGTACCCAAGGCTCGATACTATCCGTCTCGCAATAAGTACCAGACAGGGACATATGCTGGCCTTTCCCCATGCTCAATGCAGGAACTGCCCAGTCCTGTAACCTGCATTCCTTATAGGGTGTGCTCTGGTGCCGAAATGGCACTACCGAGGGAAAGGTGAGCATATCTATGAGTCCTTGATACGTATCAACGACATCCTTAGCCAAACGATCTTCCCATACCCATTGTCTGTGCGGATAGTAGTCGCCATATGCCAAAGCGTCGTCATCATGCTCGTATCCATGCGCGACAAACAGCTGCTCTTTCGCAGGTCGCTTCACAGAAGTCTCTGTTGATGATATGCAAGACAATTCTGGGAAGGTAGTGTGTGCACCTTCGAAAGACTCCTCGGAATCCCTCGGGGTATATTCAACTTCATCGCTGCTGTCATCGTCATTCATCACCTCTTCCTTATGAAACGTGGGTTTCGGTGCGCGTCGATGGATGTCATATTGGAACTTGGTCTTTCTTGTTCGCTTCTCGTCGATGTATCCAGGAAACTCGTCGACTGCCTTTTGTGGCTGACCACGCCTGTTCATACAGAACTTTTGAATCTCTGCAGGAGTAAAGAAATCAGATGGTACCAACCGCCCGAATTCTCCGCCCAGCTTTCTGACTGCTTTCTGCGACTCTTTAACTTGTTTGTCGCTGCCAAAGATGCGTGTGAAGGTTATACCAGCGGTGACCTGATCTGCGAAGCCGAGATACACTTGGGTATCTATACGACCAGGGCGATATAAGGCTTCATCCAAAGAATCAGGAGCGTTCGTTGTCAAGATGACGATATGGCCTTCCCGTGATCCGGGTCCATCTAACGTATTGAGAAGACCGCTCAGAGTGACCTCTGTCCTTGAGGGTTGGGAAAGCGACGGATTCATCTTCTTTGAATCCATCTTCTTCACTTTTTCCTTACTAGGCTTCGTGTCCCAAGTGTCAGAAGATTCCGATTCCGATTCCGAGCTCGTTTCATCTCCTTCGTCACTAGCGTCAGTCTTCGGCACCATTGTGCGCTCACGTACAATACCTGCAGCATCAATGTCTTCAACCAAGATGACACAACGGGGTGGCAAGCTTTTGACTTTGTCTTGCAGGATCTTGTCGTCCATGCCAGCTAAATCGATGACACAAAGTGGAAGATTGTAGTGGCTCGCAATCGCCGTAGACAAACTCGTCTTACCAGTACCGGCTGGCCCATAAAACATGTAACCTATCCGGTATGGTGTTCCATTTTGCCAATAGTAATCCTCTGTTCACTCAGCAAAGAAGACCTGAAGATCCGTCAAAAGCTCCTGTTTCTTCCGCGGATCCATGTCGATCGTCTCCAGTCTACGCTTCCTAGAAGTGTCATTCACAGTGTATCTAGCTGAGACGCGTATGATCTTTAACAACGTCATCTGGGCGTTAGCGGTTTCGCGAACATCCCGTAGCAAGGCTTCAATGGGCTTTCTACTCCCCCACATACAACGTAACGTAAGCTTTTCTTCATAGTGCCTGGCGTCCGGTTTGTATAGCAAAAAGGGCACACCTCCATGGAAGAAAGGAGTGTAGCCTGCAGAAGCGATGAGCTGGTAGCTATTACTCTCACCAGTATCGGCTGTTTTTGTCTCGTTTGACAAATCTTTCCATTCCAGGTGTTCAAAACTAGGAAGCCAGGCAAACAGCTGATTGGAAGGCTGCTTGCTGATCCATATCAAAAGGTCAGTGACAAGCGCATCCTCATAGTCGAGCTCGACAGAATTTGTGAGATTCGAGCTCAACCATTTGCATGTTGCGCTGCCATATTTGTGGGTGGGAACGCATAAAGCAATGGCCCAGACCAGAAACTTCAAGTCTAGGCCTGTGTTGCTGTCGATCCACATTCGAATGGCCTTGAATAGCGGCTTTTCCATGCTGCTCGCGATTGACGAATCCAAGACGGTCTCAAGGAAATTGCTTTGTCGCTTCGCTCTACGGCCCTTTGTTTTCCGCCACGAGTCCACTCGGCGATCGTCGTCATCCGAGCTATAATCACTCATGGTCGGACTGGATAAAAGCGACGGAAACCCGAGGCTGATGGCACGTTATAGGGAGGGACAGGTGGAGAGTGCCGTCTGGTTTATTACGGTGCCGTGATTTGAGCTATGAATTCCAGATACTGTAGTCGCGGTTTTGAAGTAGGGAATGGCTGTAGTTGATATACGACCAAGGTGCGGCAGAAGATTTAGACAAAGGAGAGTCTAACAAAGGTCAGTCGCGAAGGCTACATTGTATCATGCTCTGTCTCCGCACGCTGCACAGAACCCTGCGTTGATAGTCACGGAAATCTGGGCACATCCGCCTGGAATCCATCGTCTATGCAGAGCAGCTTCCGTCCGCTCGGATTGCAAGTGACTGGATCTTGTAGACTAGATATTCATCGCTAGCTTGTTCAGAGACAAACCATGACGAGTAAGTCGTCAGTTCGAGCTGTTTGAACATGATCGTACTTTTCAATAGAAAAAAATGGTGATTCTAGTCGTAGGTAGGTGTCAGGCGATAGCCCTGAGCCGGATGGTGTTTCCAACGCGTGTCTGATGAGACGCGTGTGTAGCAAAGTCGAAAACCATGGTGCGATCGCAATTGCGATATTTTGTGGAGGTATATTCAGGAAACTACAGGTGATCATTGGATGACTGGCTCGCCTGGGTTCAAGTATATCGAGATGCAGGTTGTCGCAGGCCAAGCGCTGTCGGAAACCTTGTTACTAATAACGCCGTACGATGACCTTCATATAAGCTTAGCTAGGAGTCACAAACAATACAACATACACTCTCTCCTAATTATTCTGTCTATAATACCCGCACCTAACCGTGCGACACAGGTTGTCAGCCGAGGCTGAAAGCCTTATGACGCCATCCGCCGGACCTGTCTACTTGGCAGTCAGCTAGTTTCCAGCTGAGGCTGAACGCTTTATTACGGTATCCTCCGCACCTGTCTACGTGGCAGTCAGTCAGTACAGAGACACCCTTGACAGCACGATATATCTATACCATCTTCCACGTTCATGAGTCGGATCAGGACGTGATATCGCCATACGCTCTCTCTCTACCACCTCACAGTCCTGGAAAATCGCGGGTCTCATCTAGTCCCACGTATATCCTGGGCGGTCTTACAAGACAAGAATACACCATCTTCGAGACCATCTAGATCCTGAGGGTCACTCTTCATCAGCATGCTCTACGAGTACGAAAGGTTACCGAGTGCTCGATCCATCCGGATCTTAACGCTTTGTCCCGCCGAACAGCATACCGATGCCATCGAATGTACGATCGAGGCAATAGAGCTTGAAGAAGCCTCATACGATGCTCTATCTTACAGCTGGGGCATGAATGAAGACGGCAACTCTTCACAGGACTACGAACTTTTCATCCACGGTAATCGACAGTGGATTACTAGGAATCTATCCGAGGGATTAAGAAGAATAAGAGTATGTGATAAACCTATACGTATCTGGATCGACGCCGTTTGCATCAATCAGCAAGATAATGTTGAGAGATCCGTCCAAGTCGCCATGATGGTAGATATCTACGCTCGCGCCGAGAAGGTCCTTGTCTGGCTTGGAAACGGTACTGAAGAGAAAGAAGATCTACTTATGCTAGATCTACTCGAGCGTATCAAGAAGCGCACGGAACAGATAAAGCCATGGAAGGAACCAAGGTTGAGGCATCAAAACTGCTTCGTTCTTCCTCTCCTTGGCGAGGAATCCTTGTCCTGCTCTGGCTGTGTAGAATACCAGCAGAGTGAGTCCGGCGGTGGTGATCTCCATGGATTTGACGCACATGTCGACTGGTTGAAAGAGTGTTTCAGATCCAAGCCTTCCCTTAGGCGAGCCGCTTCAGATAGGACCGATATGGCAATAAGATTCTTCTCCAGGCGGTACTGGAAGCGCCGATGGATACTCCAGGAACTGTCTCTCTCGAATACACATCACTGGTACTGGGGCCAGCACGTTCTGGATATGTCAAAATTTCCCAAAGATTGGATTGAAGACCTTCTTCAGGCAATCTGGCTAGTTGGGCATGGGCTTCGGGAAACATCAAAGGATCTTACTAGAACTGTCGCGTGGCCTTACTTCACCGTCTCACTTGATGATGTAACCGGCGATGACTCCTTCAGAACCCGAACAAGGGGGCTCTCAAAATTGTGCAACTCCCAAAACCACGACATCATGAAAGATAAAACATGGAATTGGTTGTTGAGCTACTTTCACTCATCAGAGTGCTCTGAACCCAAGGACATGTATTATGCATTGGCGAGCATGGCCATACCCAGAATCATCATTGATTACTCGTTAACGGTTGCCCAAGTCTTTCAGCAATTTGCCGAGACTATGCTGGACAATGGCGAATGGATATGGGTGTTCGTTTGTGCTGCAGAAACCCCGAACAATCAGGAATCGTTAAGAATGCCATCGTGGGTTCCGGATCCACGCTTGGTAGATTTCCATTATGGAGGAGACGAACCTCCGATGGGTATACAGATATCTCAAAGGGACTCCTTAGTCTGCGACGTTCGCTGCCTAGGGGTCTTACGGACGCAAGAAGAGTTCAATGGTGACCTTGACACTTACCGGAGGACACACGACTTCCATGCCGTGTGGGATGCTTCCTTTTGGCAAGTTTGCAGCTCACGTGAGCCATCAGATGAGATCTCGGAGGTTATTCGGCCTAGTCCTCTACAGCTTCGGATCCAATCTAACAAGGCACTCTCTGGTGATATACTTTGCTCGTGCTTAGAAAAGCTGACAAATTTCGATGTATGGATAATCCTGCGTCGCAAGCCCGAGACGACTCAAACATACGAGCTTGTTGGGGTGCAAGAATCAGGTTTCGCGTTCTTAGAATCGTTACCTAAGGAACAGCATGAGCAAAGTTTTTCGGAATGCCCCAAAATCAAGATGCGGATTGCTTGAACAAAGCGCCTACCCGAGAGGACGACCTACCCTGGGTTGAACATGAAGAACGCGCTACGGTAGCGCATTAGCGCACCCCACCAGCCATCCCACCTGGCACAAAACGCATTAGTCCAACAGCGCCAACATCGCCAATCGACAGCGACCCGCGATGAAGGCGATATTCCGAGTTGCGCATATCCTGCTGGTACTCTCACTCTCCTCTTTACTGATCTATAGCGTTTACTACGCGTTCGCCCTATTGCGGCAAGATCAGCAACAGCTTTCGAAGCTATCGCATCCCCAGGCGGTCAGCGACGAAGGCGGCGCCGGAGAGGTCACCGACGACGATGTACTGCGGAAACCGTCACCACAGGAAATAGTACGTCTGTTCTGGTCACGAGGCAGTCTAAACACAAGAATATTAATCACATGCAGGCTCATTCTATGAACACAATGTGGGATTACCTAGATGACTGGGATGAAGATCATTGCATCAACGTCTGTGAGGCATCGTGGATCGCCTGCCAATTGAGGAACTGCGGACATTTACCGTACGTCAGACAGCAAGAGCTTTGATTGTTCGTACCACATCGCAGAGTACGTCAATAACGGCCGTGTGGGGTTGCGTGGAATCGGGAGATGGGTGTTTAATGCCGCGATGCCCCACAGTCATTGTCAATATGGTTAAGAGGTAGACTTGATGTTATCAGATTACCAGCAGCACTCCAAATGCTACCATTCGTCCAAGGTATCCAGGAACGCAGGAACCTCTTTCACAGAACCGGGTGAATAGCCCATGACCATCCTGGACCTCAGGAGGCTTAAAGGAGCGAGAGGACCCTCGCCACGGTTTACTTCTACCCATGGTCGGCAGTGCAATCATCCCAACCAACATGGCCTTCCTAATTCTCGCTCTCGCGACCATTGCCCCCTCTGCCATGGCCTTTGAGTGCACACGGGAATATCTTCAAAGTACAGCAGACTCGTACGTCGACCTAATGGCAACAGGCCAGCACGACCGATTCGAGAACCTCGCCTACTCAATGAAGTACTTTGAGAACAACCAGACGGCCTCGATCCTCGGCGGCGTACCAGCCCTCGGACTGGCCATTGACTTCCACCGCTCCATCCTCGACACAACGCAATGCAAGACCATGACCGAGCTCATCATCACCGACCCCACACATCCATACGTCATTCACACCCAGATGACCCTAGATACCGAAGGCAACGTCAACCTCATCGACAGCATCGTCACCGACCAAGGCGACTGGGCCTTCAACGCAACGGGCTACCAATACTGGAACAGTCGAGAATCCTGGCTTCCTATCCCGGAAGCCGCACGCGACACGTACAAGGTGGTCAAAGCAGCGGGGGAAGCCTATGCAGACCGCTGCAACGACATTACCGTGCAGGTCCCCTGGGGTGTTCCCTGCGCCCGTCTCGAAGGCGGTGCGTATACGGGTTACAAAAACCTTTCGGCAAACACGTGCGATCAGGTTCCCGCACATGTCCCCTTGACGAACCGAAAGTATGTTGTTGATGAGGTGATGGGTGTTGTGGATGTCTTTATGGGGTTTACGGGGTTGGATCGGACAAGGAATACTGAGGGTGCGCCGGATAGTCATATGTTTCGGGTGGAGGGGGGTAGGATTCGGTATATTCACACGGCGAGTGCGTGTTTTGTTGATGGGTGTGGGATGAATGGTACTGGTATGTTTTTTTGCATCTGTGAGACTGTGGTTGAGTGGTGCGCTGACATGTTGGTAGATCCGGGGATTGGAGGGAGGTTTGTTGCGTCGCCGGTGGATGAAGTTTGAGTGATGGGATGGGGTTTATGGCGTTGTGAGCTTTTGCTAAGGCTGATTTCTGGGTCATGTAGGACGGTGGAACAGGGAACGAGGCGGGCTCGGGGTCGAAGATTGTCCATTGAAACTGAGTGTGGCGACTCATGGGAAGATACCTCGAGGGCATATATAGGAGATTTGTTAAGGGTATAACAGCACGAATTTCACTGTATGTTTTTACGGTAAGTTTGCCAGTCGGGGTATCAATTCAGGCAAGACAAGCTTTTCATGCGTCCAAGACTCATAGTTACAACTACCAGTGAGATACTCGGACAAGTGAAACCAGCATAATCTCTTCAATCACCCCCACCACATAGCGCTCTACCACAAGCGACAAAATGTCACAACTGTCCACAGACTCTCGAGCCATTTCCTGAACCAACACCAATATATACGGCCACTACTTCTTCCACAACACCAAGAACCAAACATCCTTCACACCACGACCGAATTCCTCCTCGACCTACTATTCTCGCTCACCCAACCCACCGCCCTCTCAAACCCATTCTCCCCCCTCCGGAAATCCCTCACCGCCTGCTGCACCTCCTCCCTACTCGTAACCACAAACGGGCCGTACTGAACAATCGGCTGGTCCAGCGGCAGCCCCGCAACCAGGATGAAGTTTGCAGCCTCTTTTGCATCCGCGCTGACGCTGATGGATACGCTGTCCCCCTCTTGTTCAAAGATGGCCATGTGGAACTGTCCGATTGATTGCGACGGAGCTTCGGTGTCGCCGTTGGAGACTTGGATAGCGCCCTCGAGGACATAGGCAAAGGCGTTCCAAGTCTGCGGTAAGGACTGGTGCAATGAACCGCCTGGTTGCACGGTGAAGTGCAGGTACCAAACTGGTGTGTAGGAGAGTTCCTTTTTGCTTTGCACGCCGAATGATAGGCCACTTATAACTTTTACATGGACTCTGTAGAGACGGGGGGAAAAACGGGCACCTCGTCAGTATTGCACGTCTCTCTCTCCTTCCTTCTCGACAGAATGTTGCGAAGAGAAACTTACCTCCCGCCATCTCCCCCCGCTTCAGGAATCTCCTTGGCCTTGAGATCTCGATACCTCGGCTCGCAGTACTTTAGTTCCTTGGGCAAATCAACCCACAACTGCATGCCCACATTAGGCTCCCCGTTGTCGTTGTCATGGATGGGTATCTCGCTGTGCATGATGCCCCTCCCCGCAGTCATGAACTGCAAATCTCCAGCTTCAAGCGTGCCTCTATTGCCCGCGAAGTCTTCGTGGTCGACGCCGCCGGAAATGATGTAGGAGATTGTTTCTTGGCCCTGTGGGAAAGTAAGTGATGGATCGTTAGCAGTAACTACACGACGATGTCTGGTGGCTTTGCTGGGGGAAGAGGAAGAAAAAGAGGCAAGGCAAGTGAAAGGGTTTAGAGAAGATGATTGTTATTTACGCGATGGGGATGGTCGGGTGCACTGGCATCCATGTCGTTTCCAAAAGTACTGTTGAAGTGATCTAGCATGATAAAAGGGCTCAGGTGAGGTAGTCTGGCTAGGCCGATTCCGCGACGTACGCGCATACCAACACCTTCTTCCACTTCGGCGGCGAGAAAACATTTGGAGATTTTGCGTGGAGTGTTTGTGGTGTAGGTTTCGTCCGGGATGACGGGTAGGCCGCGGAACATTGTCGTCGTACTAGGCTTGCCGCTCATGTTTCTGGCAGAGCGATGGATCTTGCTGGTGGGTGGTGCCGTCTCTTTTTTGAAAGATTGTGCGATGCGTGAGAACATGAGGTTGTTGTTATGGAGGGTTGATGCGGTGATGCTGCCTCAGTCGGTGATATCCCAAACAGAGAGTACGATATCGACATTATGTATCCGAGTATCGTGGTCATGTTTGGGATGTTGGTAAGCAGAGCGGTGTTCGTAGTGCCGAATTGCATAGTCGTGGTTGATAAAGCAAGTACCAATCGTGTGTAATGCGCTCGGATGGTACAGCAGCCGTGTGACAAACAGCCTTGTAGAGCGCGGAATTATCAGCGCAAGTTCCGCGCGCTACCGGGACGAGACGCTCGTCAAGCCGAGAGAGTGCACAAGCTACGCATCTTGCAACAAGACGTTTGCAAACAGGATGGGAGAAGCGCGGCGACAGACAAGGTGTACGAACGCACATTGGGTGATGTGAGGAAGACCATGTGCCAAGTCAATGCTGGGTCCGATTTACTATCACTACTTTGACCTCATGGATCATAAATTTACTATATACCTGCAAGTGAGCATTACTACAATCATTTTCCCATACGTTACAAGGTTGGAGGCTCATCTCGCTTTACATCAAACGCATCATGCGGTACATGTCCGTCGCCATTGCAAATCCTCCGCTTTCATACTGGGTGTCGTCGCTTCCAATGCCGCCACTCGAACGCCAAGTGCTAGGGAAACGCCATATTATGGTACAGAGAAGAAGAGAAACAAGTAGATGCAGTGCGAGAAAACAGAGTACGGTAGAAGCAAGGGGGTATTCAGGGGGTATCCATGGTGCGACGGCTGAGAGAGGTCGCACGTAAGAACGTGGGTGCGTTGCGACGAGTTTGATCGGAGGAATGAGGCGCAATGGGAGGGCTACCGACTAATCTCTGCTCACCTGAATATGTTAGTACCTCTGTCTCCTCATGTAGTAGCATCCTATGACTTACCGGTATCCCCGGCCTCCGCGGGTGCCTCTCCTCTCGCGGTAGTCCTCGTGTTCTTCAATGACCTCGACGACATCATCACCCGGCACACGATTCCGTCCCTCAACGATGATGCTCCTCGCTCTTGGCGCTGCCTGCCTCCTCTCCTCGACAATAATCTGCGACCGCCCACTATTCCGTCTTGGGCTCCTGCTAATCTCACGCACTTCAGACCGGCGTCGCGAGCTGCGTCCGCCATGTGAATTGCGTCGCCTTTTCACTACAATCTCTTCCTCTCCCGCCATGGCCGTCGTCGTGCCTGTCCTGTTGTTGGTGTTCATCAGCGACTGGATGAGCCAGCAGATGAGGAGGAAGCCGGCCACGCTGCCTAGGACTATGCCGACGACGGTGCCAGGCTCCGGACCGGAGGTGTTGTAGTAGGTGGGTATTATGCCTTGCTGGGTGTATATGACGTTCTGTCGCTTGGCCATGGGTGCTGTCTTGGGCGCAGCGAAGACAATGGCTGGGACGTCTAGAGCAGGCTGTCGGGGCGCCATGTTCGCAATAGCATTGTAGTGGTCGCGTACGGCCGGCATGGCAAAGACAGTCGGTTATGCGACACTGGCCGCGAGAATGCGCGCTCTGGCAGCGAGGTGGTGGCGGTGGTGTTGAGGATCTGGCGTGTTTGGGTGGGCGTCGTCTGGGGGAACAGCAGTTCCTGGCCTGAGACCGACGATGCCGGCGCTAGTTGTGGGGGTGCGAGGCAGATCAATGTTGTGTGGGCGCGCAACACAACACAAGACAATGCTGAGGGACGGGGGATAGATCAGGAAATGCAATTGCAGGATGCTGAGAATCCGTCAAAGGTAAAAGAGGAAAAGGGAAAGCAGGGCACGCTTGCGTGAGATTTGACACAGCGGTGCGCTGGTTGACTACGACGCCATGATGCAATTATTCATCGCAATATGGGGGCTGGGGCCCAATAATAGGAGGCTGAACCCTCAACACCACTTCCCGCACCCCCCAACATCACGACGTGACATACCCGGCGGATTCCGCAAACACGCCTCTATTACTGATCAAAACTTGTTTCCATCAATACCATTGTCTTTCCCATCGCCCATCGCCATGTCAATAAAAGCCGTCCGCAACGCTCCGCGGGAGGCGCAACGCCTGAACTTGGACATCATCTTGACCTCGCAGGTACAACCTTGCTTTGCACACTGGACAGGCTGGACCGCGTGTACTCTACCCGCCAATTCTTGTTTTCCTCTCTCGCTTGTTATTGCTTCTGGGGCCGCATCACCCTGCAGCAGATCCTGACTTTCCGCACATGCCTCCCGGCCAATTGCGACGGCTTTACGCGCCGAAGCCATACAGCGCTTGCAACGTTGTCGCGCCCTCACGTGAGGTGTTTTGTGGATGTTTCTGCCTTGGTGATTTTCTTAGTCGCTCGTCCACGCTAAAAATTGCAGTGCAAAAAGGCTGAAGTATTGGTGTTGGCAGATAGCTAACGCCTTTGACCGGTGTTCAGCCTTGTTGTCTTGGTGATCGCAGGTCGTGGTTCAGCCTCGTATTGCAATCTACTCGTTCGGACGAAATAATTAGTACGGCATCACACTCCATTTACGGCAAAGTTCCGCAAGACGTAACAACAAAGGCCATGCCGCCATAGTAACGGGATCACCTTGACGAGCAGCTCTTCTCTGAACGAACACCGCCGCATGCTATGCGCAAGACAAATGAGAGTTTGAGGCTAAGACGTGTCTCTCGAAAATGGAGTTGTGGAAATACAACTTGTACTACCTCAAAAAATCACCAACACTGACAGCCTGATAAAGCGACCAAACAACCGTGGGTGCAACCTTAATGCATTAATCTAAAAGCTCATGCGTTCCGACTGCGCCTCAACGCGGAAATACGATCGGTCATCTGCGATTAGCTATTGGTTTCACGCATCCCTGCGTCACATTAGCATAGCCTCAGCCACAATGCAGCCTGGTGTTAGTCAACTACAACTTCTACTGTAAACCGGCTTTTCAGTCTTTCGACGCGTCGTTATTCACGAACATCCGATCCAACGTCGTCGTCGCTGATACCCGAGGAACCATTCCTACTTCCCGCACTTCCTACACTCTATACTCAAGAAAGCGATACCCGAATGAAATAACGCAAAATACTGCACCGGAGGCTGCATAAACCGTCTGATTCGACTTGTCTACGCAAGAGACCAAACATGGAACGAGATTCGCATCGTACGCTCCGCGAGATCCATGGGAATATCGAAAACCTTGTTGCTAGTGTCGAGGACATCCAAGCAAAAGCTTTAATGGAAGTGGTGGAGGATGATGCGCCTCTGAACCTACGATTCATCACACCTTATCAACTCTCCACCGACTGGACGACAGATGAGAATTGTTCTGAATATGCCCTTACCCTGCCAGGTGAACTTCCACCTGGTCAAGAGTATATATCCGTTTCGTACACATGGGCGCATTCGCAAGAGATCGACGCATCAACGCCTATACCGGACTATCGCATCAAAGATCAGGCCACTCCAGACGCGCCCTTCAGGTTGATCAATTGCCCCACTTTGGTATTTCACCGTGCATGGTGTTTCGCGCGAGCACGCAAAATTCCCTACATCTGGATTGATCAAGAGTGCATATACCAGAAAAATGCAGAAGACAAAGAGAGGCACCTGCAGATCATGGACAAGATATACGAGAGAAGCAAATGGACCGTCGCCATCTTGTCAAAAGAAGTGCCCGACACAATGCTCAGTGCCCTGGTGTTAGTTCCGTCCAACGACCGTGAGGAATGGACGGGGAAGCCACATTTTGGAAATTGGCCAGATGGTGTTGATTTCTGGCCGTTTTTCGATGACTTCCAGGAAAACGCTAGCAAGATATTGTCCTCCGTATATTCCGATCGATGGTTCACACGCGCCTGGACATTCCAGGAAAGGTGTTGTGCTTCAGCATGCGTATTGCTAGCTCCAGTTGGGAACAAAAGCGATGCCGTCGCGCAGTTGTCTTTAGACTGGATTGGAAACGATGTCAGCTTCTCAGTTTTCGATATGAAGGACATCTACCAGTTCCGCAATCTACATCTTCGAGGTGATCATGCCGTTTTCCTATTTTTAAAGGCATTATCTCTTCGAAAGATAGATGATACAAGCCCTTTGGGGCATTGGCTGCTGTTCAAGGCGATTGAGAGATGTGACAACCTGATCTGCTCAGATAGGCTCACGATATATGCAAATGTTTGTGGCTTCCGATATAAGCTTAATTCCACAATATTGAACGACGTAAAGTACAGCTACAGTACTTGTATGCTTGCGCTTATAATGGCAAATGAAGTCAAGGATAAGCTTACTGTTGATTTACCGAAGATCAATATGTCAAATCTGGATCTAGAACAGAATGTCGAAGAGTATTTGCACGGCAAGAATCCCAGATGGAAATTTTTTGGGTCGTTCTAGCAGTAGCTGCTCCTATCATATGTATCCTTATGGAGCGTAATTACCTTTCCCTCCATAACTCGTATTACATCCCGCGGCCCGTTACCTGATTCCAATGCCAAGTACAACGTCTATCTCCAGGACTGTCATAGACTACAACACCTTACATGCAGGTACCCACCCTCGCCTCGAATCATTTAGTAGCATACGCGGCATTGTGCATGAGGACCACGCAACCCTTGAAAGACAGTTAATATTGATTTGGCGGAAAAAATGCTGCTCGTCACAAATGTGCTCTGGCTTGGGTCAGCTCGAAGATCTGACGGAGCTGCGACGAGGGTTATTCCGCGACTCTGGCAGTGCAATCGAAGTCCTTTTGTTTAGTGGTTGTTTGTCCCTCTGGTTCTGGCTTCACAACGTTCGAGTAAAGTCCAATCAGGCTCTGCTGCTGCCGATTGAAGAGCTCGTTAAGGTCAACATGGTGTATGATTGCGAAGCAGGCGAAGCCAAGGTTGAGTCTGATGCACATTATCCCGCTGTGTCCGAATAATGATTATCTTCAAATCGCCTCGCTAGATAGATCCTCGCGCGCTAATCTCATCTCACATGAATATCGTAAGCCAGCCAAGCGCGCAAGCGGCGGCGCCGAGCCTTGTGCAACAGACAAGCATAGTGGCTACCTACCGTGGCTTCCAGTACCTCGTCGCAACTAAACCGCGAAGACCGACGTCGCCGCCTCGTGCAGTATCTCCGGTCGAACTGAATCCGAAAGGTGGGAGTGATACGTTCCCGTTCTGCTGGATACCGTCTTGACGAGTCGTGATTCGGATGTAAGCGTGCAGGCCAAGGCAGAATCTCCGAGTCTCGAACCCCACGAACCAGGGTGGCCTGATAGCTGGCACCAAACCCTTGATCTTGCATGATACAGCATCTGCGGATGTCTCTATCATTTGGTGTATAGCCGCCCAGATCCGGTTCTTCCAGAATGAGCAGACGAGCATATCGCCATGTCTCCATCTGACGCTAGCCTGGAACTCCACACTATCGATCTCAGTACCTGGACCTTTAGCAACAAGAGAGAAATCTACGACAGAGTCGTTGCTCAGGTCTGTGGTGCTGCGCGCCAGTATGGCTTCTTCCACATTCACGGCCACGGCATCCCCGTTAGCCCACCACACGGCCTAGTAAGCTAATGACAGCGCCGTCGACCTAGACAGTCACTCTTTTATTGACATGACCGACAGAGGAAATACCTAGGTTTGCTTCCTTTAGGGGTCATTCGTGTCCGGATCTCCGGAATTTCCTTCAATTATCAGCTTGGTTTTCGGTTGGCTGCTAATCCCGTCTGGGTGTGGCGTAGTTTGTACACCAATCAAGTTGCACATTAGGCGCAACCGACCCCATGGGGAGCCATCCCCGCATCTTGGCTCTCGTGGCGGTCTCGTGGCTGTCTTCGCCCTCGCTGGGCGTGACTATGTTACCTGCTTGTTCGTATAATCCCAAGAAATTTCGGGCCAGTGGTGGCCGAGGGTGCAACATATAGAAACCTAATACTCACACCCCTTGTACGGATCAGCACTCTTCCTCTCCCTTCTTTCCTCCTCACCAACATCGCCTGGTGGACTCGCGCACCGCGAATCTTCTACGCATCGCATCAGTCCTCTGGTGTAGTTGACCGGACCACGGCCTTAGTTCCCTTGGGCTGATATCGCAATGGCTACGGTGCAGGATTCCGCCAACATGGAGTCGGTGCCACGGCCAGACTCTTTCGATGCGGGCGTTCACTCGACGCAGCAGCAGCTCGTCGAGGCTGCGGCCACCGCCTCTGAGTCGGAGACCAAGCTGCCACGTGGAGAGCTCTTCAAGCGCTACCGGCCCGCCGCCATCTATTCCGGTCTTTTATCCATGGCTCTGGTCATGGAGGGAATGGATGTCGGTCTCATCAACAACTTCTTCGCCCATCCCGCCTACCGTCGGAGGTTCGGTAACACTTACAACGTCGACGGCGACCTGGTTGTCTCGACACAATGGCAAACGATCATTGGCGCCGGTAACAACGTTGGATCCATCCTCGGTCTCCTGGTCAATGGTTATTTACAGTCTCGCTTCGGTTCTCGCAGGGTGTACTTAGTAGGTCTCCTCTTGACAATGATATCTGGATACCCGCTAATCATTCTCTCCTTTAGGGCGCAATGGTCCTGATGGCAGCTACCATTTTCATTCTCTTCTTCTCGACAAGTGTAGAAATGCTTCTCGTCGGTAACATCTTGTGCGGTATCCCATGGGGTATCTTCCAAACCCTTACCACCGCCTACGCCGCTGAAATCGCTCCCACCGCCATGCGTGGCTACCTTACTGCCTGGGTATCCATGTGCTGGGGTGCTGGCTCGTTCTTGGCCGCGGGTGTGCTCAAAGGCACTATCACCATTGAAAGCGACGCCGGCTGGAAGATCCCCTACGGTCTCCAGTGGATGTGGATCCCACCTCTTTTCCTTGTCGCGTGGTTCGCCCCCGAGTCACCATGGTACCTGATTCGCCGTGGCAAGATTGAAGAATGCGAGAAGAGTCTACGCCGTCTGGCCCGCCCAGGGCACTACACCGAGCAATCGATGCGCGAGACTCTTGCCCTCATGAAGCACACCAATGACATGGAAAAGATGGAAGCCGAGAACGCTAGCTATGCTGACTGTTTCCGCGGCGAGAACAAGCGCCGTACGCTCATTGTCTCCATGGCCTGGATCATCCAGATTTTCAATGGCCAGTCCATCACCAACTATGCGGCACAGATGCTTCGCGCTATCGGTATGAGCGCCACCAACGCCTTTAGCTACACAATGGGTATCCAGTCAGTCAACATCTTCGCCACCGCAATCGCTATCTGGATGATGGGCTGGGTTGGCCGCCGTACCTTCTACCTCTACGGCTCTGCGTCCATCGGCCTCTGCATGCTTATCGTTGGCATCATGGGTTTCGCTGTAGACTCTGCCACGGACGTTGCCATCCCCGTCGCCGTTTTCCTCATCTTCGTCCAGATCGCTTTCAAGATCTCTCTCGGCCCGACCACCTATGTCATCGTGGGTGAAATGTCCGCGTCCCGTGTTCGTGCTCAGACCATCGTCATCGGTCGTTCCCTCTACGTCTGTGGCCAGATTGCTGTGCAGCAGCTCAACCCCCGCATGCTCAACAACGATCCCACCGCATGGAATTGGGGTGCGAAGACTGGCATGTTCTACTTTGGCTTTTGCTTGCTCTGGGTGATCTGGATCTTCTTCTTCCTTCCCGAGACCAAGGATCGGTCCTTTGCCGAAATCGACTACCTCTTCAAGAAGAAGACGCCCGCCCGCAAGTTCCGCACCACTGCCGTCGACTGTAAGTTTCTGTGTCCCTTTTCTCACCGATTTGGTTTCTCCATGACTAACTTGTTTTCTTAGTGTTCGAATTCACGCCAGAGGACAAGCTGCAAGAGAATATTGGTGAGAAGACGGCGATGCATAGTTCGCAGAGAGAAGTTGTGTAGCTTGCACGACACTAGCTGGCGCTCTTTGACGTGTTGGTCAGTGAGTCGTATCTGTAAGGACACAATACGTGTGCAATGACATATTTAATCCGTTCGCTGTCAACATGCGCCTGCGTACCGTGAACCAGGCCTCGGTTCGTAATCTGGTGATGCTATTAGCCTTGCGTGATGTAACGACTGGAATGACCTGGCCAGTCGTCAACGACACGGAGATCCATCGATTGGATAACCCATCCTATCGCTTTCGTACTCGAGACCAAACGTATGCCTAGCCTTCTCACATGCGAAGAGCGCGGAAAGTTCACGGATACGAACGAGAAAGAGAAACTCGCGATGTGGATATCTGGTTGGTGGAGATCTGCATGAAAATCATTCCGTCATCAGTCAGGTGATTGAACGCTAATCCCGAAACGCGTTCGACGCGTCGCCCACACGCGGATTCAGCTGCCTTCTCGTCTACGTTTTCTCCCCCCGCTTAAGCGGTTTCATGTAGTCATCCCAGTTGACCCTCTCACGCACCTCAGGATGCTCCTCCAACCAATCCTCCACATCACCCTCATCAACTACCAGTCCTGGATGCTCCTTCATCGCATCTACAAGCACGTCCCTAATTCCTGTGTCGTCGTCCGGCGTAGACGTGAAAGCCTCTTCCAACGCATCAGCTAGATCCAAGCCCTTGTACTGCCAATACACATGTAGAACGTCTACCACCCCCTGTCGTGCATAGATCTTCAGATCTTCCATGTCGAAGTAGTCAGCGACGGTGTAGACATGCACGTGAAGGAGAAGATGAGAAGCGGACAGCGACTTGCCAGCACAAGGACATTTGCGCTTGAAGATCTGCGGGCTTTTATCAGGACCGTGTAAGAGAGCGAAGGTGCTGTGGTTGCAGTAGTCTGTAGATGGTATTGGTGTGCCTTCGGGAAACTGGTAGGTTGATGTATACATAAAGTCAAGGACATGCTTCATGGTGATGGCGTCGACGTCGGGGATTTCTACTTCTTTGTCGTTGCTCTCCTGGGATTGGGTTAGCATTGTTCAGCCGTCGATTCGGTTGATCATATGTACGCTGCCGTGGAAACGAAACATGCGCGCAAAGTATGGTGATGAGGCTTCGAGAACGCTTTTGTGCGTTGCGTATCGCTGGCCCTCGCAGATGACTGTGAAATCTGTCGTTTGGTAATTCAGTATGGGTGTTATTTCCTTTGTTTTTGGCTTGGAAGGCGTCGGCGGCGTATGCTCTGCATCGATGGTCTGAGTCGCTTTGACATGTGGTGTAGTAGGGACGACTTTGACGTCCCCAGGTGTTTGAGTGGCAGGCTCCATGTTTAGCGCAAGTTGGAGCAGAACCGACTGTTAGATAAAATCAGTATTGAGACCGGTAGAGTGTGATTGTGAGGATCACGAGGACGGAAACAACCCTGGAAATTTGTCAAGATGTTATTCTGGTCGTGATAAGTGTTTGCGCTATTCACTGTCGCCTAAAGCGGAAGAGGAGTCGCTACCACGGCCTTCTTGGGTCTCAACTCCACCCGTTGATAGCGATGATGTTTCCTTGGTAATCACTAGAGCGCCTGTGATGGGTTAATAGTGGTTATATGTGCGGATAATCATGTAGGTAGAGATGACATGCCTAGGCAATCATGCGGTGATGAAAAGATCGTCCCGGTTCCGGTCAGCTTTGCAGGGATGAGGACCGTGTTGATGCGCGCACCCGCGTCGATCCCGCACATACCGGTACACGTGTGATTGGTAGGGTTTGCAATGGCTCTGAAGCGTTATCACTGTTTCAAGTCAAGTGTTTCATATGAAGGAACGACAGGGTCCTATGTGAAGGAAACGAATGTGCCGAATGATGAAGGCTTGACCCCAGACTACAGCCTGGCGATGCGTGGGCTAGCGCCTTATTTTGCACGACCTGATGGTTTATTGTTGATAGTATGTTATCATTGATGCAGCCCCAATACACAAGGGTTGTTTAGGAGAGCGTGAGTGGTGACGTCACTGCCTTGCGGACTTATAGCGGGGTTTAGGAATGTCTTGTACGAAGACTGGTAGCTCTACGATACGCACAGATACTACCAGCAGCGTGGTATCTCTCGTCATGTTTTGCTTCCGTGTATTTCTACTGCTACAGCTTTCCTTCCTTCTCCCTTCCGCTTTTCACTCACATCCTTCCTTTGACTCTCTCACCCACTAATCCACCCTCAAGCCTTCCAACATCATGAAAGAGCAATGAGGAGAACAAATAGTGGGTAGGCAACTTGATCCTCACAACAAGAAGAGTATAGCACATTCAATCGGTTCCTTGCTAAGAGATTCATCATGTACCTAAAGAAGCTAGAGAGGCCACCATGTCGTCCACCATGTCGTTTATCATGTCGTCCACCATGTCGTTTATCATGTCGTCCACCAGAGCACAATGAAACGGCGAGCCCATTCAACTAACCCTCATTCATACAGTAAACGAACCAGTTCCAAAAGTCCCTCAGAAGCCCTCGATACCCGCCTACCAGGCATCCTTTTCACACTTGACGCTCCGATAAAGCCTAGAAAGTCCATCCGCATAAGCATCCCCCTTGCGCGAATCAAGGAAATCGTACGCCTTATGCTCCCCACTCGCGCATCCAGAATCAGCATACCATTTACAATACACGCCAGCATACTGGATCATGGACGCCGGGCCCTGGTCTGCAGGAGCAAAGCTGACGCATTGGTGCAGCGCGTTGACGGCGTTATTGGTGCAGAAGGCGAAGTTGCGTTGGCGGCAGATGGATGTGGAGCCAGGGGAAGTGGACCAGTGATAGAATGGGTTACCGCGCTTCGCCAGGTTAGAGGGAACGACAGTGGAGGAACCGTTGGAGGTGCGTGTGTTGACTGCGCTTACGTCGGCTGTCGAGGTGGCACCGGTGCCGCCACACCATACTCCGGCTAGCTTCTCTACACCCCATCCGCTGAGCCGTGCATCTTGGGTTGGGTTCGACATGTAGCTAAAGTATAAGTCGCCGTCCATGCAGCCGGGCTTGGTGTAGTATTTGCAGAGTGAACCCTTGGCTTGCGTGATCACCTTGGTTTGGTAGGCAAAAGGTCCTGGGAAGGCTACACATTGGTTGAGAGTATGTAGAACGGTGCAGTGTGCTGGGTCAAGATTGGTCTCGTTGCAAATATACAGGTCGGCGACTTTGAGGGATGAGGTGCTCAGTGCTGAGACTGAGTGGCCAACTGTCACTTGGATGTCATTTGCTTTGACTTGGGGGAGAAGTTCGCTGCGGGTCTGGATGCTCGTGGGTGGGATCTCGAGTGACTCCAAGACGGCACACTGTGCTGAGTTGATTTGCTGCGCAAGTTTGGTAGGCTGTTTCAAGTCTTTCTCCTCTGGATTCAGGGTATGGAGGACGGGAGCACCAGGACACGCGGACTTGCTGTAGAATAAGCATTCAGAGCGACCGGACTGCTCGAGGAAGTGGATTGAATCGGGGTACATGGGTGTAGGAAAGTCGACGCAGTCGTTCAATGCGCTGACCACCTTGTGAATGTGTGTATTGCCTATATCCTCTCCGATACGAAGCTGACCCCATTCGAGAGTAGGCTCAGGAACACGGGCCCGTATATTGCAGGTGCGACAGATTCGAAGATGGTACACTTTGCCGAGTTAATCTTTTGTGCAAAGTCGCTGCGAATCTTCCAATCCTTCTCCTCGTCATTGAGAGAATCGAGCATAAGAGGTTCAGCGCACTCGGTCTCAGCGTAATACTTGCAGATCGTGAGACCAGATTGGTCGAGCGTGCGAGTTGAATTGGGGTACTGGCGCGTGGGGAAATTGACGCAACCATTTAGAGCGTTGACTACCGCGCGAATCTGTTTATCATCAATATCTTCACCGATGCGAAGCTGACCCCGTTCGAGAGCAGGAAGCTTAGGAATTTGCGAATCTAGAGTGACTAACGACGAAGCCACGACGGACAACGGCGAGTTCACGACCGGGCCCTCGCTGATCACAGCAACATCGCGCTTGTCAAAAGAGTGCTTGCACATTGCGTATTCAATCTGCATGCCTACCTCCGGCTCAGTCGGATACGACCACTTCGCCTTCCGAGTATCAAGGGTGCGCAAAACATTGCCATCCTGGCAGTCGCGCTGGTAGTAGTCGCAGACGTAGCCTTGCGGCTGCTCGATCCAAGTGACTTGCTTGATCGTTTCGTTGGGAAGCCGGTAGCATTGACCCAGAGCGCTTTCCTCGATAGATGACACCCGAGTGTCTGCGTACATGTGCGTGGCGTACACGACGCAGAGTTGCTATCAGTCAATCAGTCAGTTGTCAGTTCATCTTTGCGGTTCAAACTGTCAGTCTGGAGGTAGTGAACTGACCTGATTGACTGCCAAGACATTTTTTAGAATCGCGAACTGAGACT